CACGTTTCTTTTGCATTCTGATAAGTGAGATTTAACTGGGTTTTTGCCTGTAATCTGTACAAGCTCGAGATCGTGTGCTTTAGTCAGTTTTGAACTTACTTTAGAAATAAGGTTATGAATTTGAATTGTCATGTGACAACTTTTTACCAAAGTAGGCAATGACGTTTTTAATCTGAGTATAAAATATTCAGCTCACTTCAGACTTCATTGGTATGTACATGGAAAGCAACTTATATTCATGTTTAATGTAGATATAGAATCTTTAAATGTATACGCAGGCTCGGTTCGCGGCTCAATATTCAACTCGAATCTGATCTCACTCTAAGAAGACAAGAGGATTGTTCACGTCGTATGCTCCAGCATATTTTAATGTGCCCCAACAACTGCGTTAAAGTGAGTAAATGCTATGGTAGGAGCATTTTGGAGCATGTTATAGCATGCAACGCGAACAAACCTAGGGTGTTTTATTGTATGTATATATTGATGCCGGGATCCAATTCAGAGCAGTCAAAATTTAGCCTCAAATATAATAGACACTATGATAGCAATGTAGGCTGCGTTGCGTCATTAATTGCTCAAGTTCTACTTTAATGTTATTCCATCATTATTATTAATTTATAAATGAGGAGCAGACTTCCAAAATGTATTTTATTCAAAATTTATAATTTTCAAGAACAGAGAAAGAAAGCAATAAGAAAATTACACATCTTATAGAAAACAATTTGCCAATCAATAAGGTGCAAAATGTTAAACAAAATTGCTATAGTATTTCTAATGTTAAACAAATGCATTTTGTTTGTCTCTAGTTAAACGACAGAGTACACTTCAAATATTTAGATTTTTTCCAGCACGTAAATTGATGGTGAAAAAATAGTTTCAGAACATCGTAGAGTAAAGTATGAATCTTTCAACATTGAACACTATGCCACTTCTAATTCGAAAGATAAAATTTTGGATAAAATGCATTTTGAAAGTCTGCTGCTCACAAATTATGTCTTATGTAACATAATTTCACATAGGAGGGCGAAATGATTGATGGAGAAATGATAACCAGATTATGAGTAATGTTAATAACTAACAATGACAAAGGATGATAAACCCAAGGAGCAAGTAAAGGAGATTGAGAAGTTGTTGCTTTCCTAAGTTTATAATCTGCAAGAAATTAGAACATTTCGTCATGTTGCCACTGATAAAATTATTACTGTATACATATTTGGGCAAAAATGTGTTATATAGAATTATATAAAAATGTATATATATAATTTTATATAATTGTATATAAAAATAAACATAATTTATATATAATTATATATTTATGTAT